TGTGAGGTATGGGTCCTGTTTCATTTTTATGCAGATGGATATCCAGTTATGCCAACACCATTTGTTACAGAGACTGTCTTTTCCCCATTTGACGGACTTTGGGCCTTTGTCAAAATCAGGTGGCCATAAGTAGATGGATTTACATCTGGGTTCTAAATTCTGCTCTGTTGATCAGTGTGTCTGTCATAGTACCCAGTACCAGACTGTTTTGACTATCATAGCTGTATAGTAGGTTCTGAGGTCAGGCAGTGCAAGGTCTCCTACTTTGTTCTCTTTCTTCAATAATGCTTTACTTATCCGGGGCCTGTGTCCTTTCCATATGAAGTTAATGTTTAGTTTTTCCATCTCTTTAAAGAATGCTGTTGGTATTTGGGTCGGGATTGCATTGTATTTGTAAATTGCTTTGGGTAGAATTGTCATTTTCACAATGTTGGGTCTGCCTATCCATGAGCGTGGTATGTTTTTCCATTTATGTAGATCCCTTTGGGTTTCATGCAGTAGTGTTTTGTAGTTTTCTTTGTATAGGTCTTTTACATCCCTGGTCAGATTTATTCCTAAGTATTTTATCTTTTTAGGAGCTATTGAAAATTGTATTGTTTTCCTGATTTCCTTTTCATCGTTCTCCTTGTTGGTATATAGGAATCCAACGGATTTTTGTATGTTTATCTTGTATCCTGCTACTCTGCTGAATCTTTCTATTAGTTCCAGTAGTTCTTGTGGAGTCTTTAGGATTCTCTATGTATAGTATCATATCATCTATGAATAGGGATAGCTTTACTTCTTCCTTACCAATTTGGATGCTCTTAATTTCCTTTTCTTGCCTTATCGCTCTAGCTAGGACTTCCAGCACAATGTTAAATAGGAGTGGTGATAAAGGACATCCTTGTCTTCTTCCTGTTCTCAAGGGGAATGTTTTCAGCCTCTCTCCATTAAGAACCCTGATGTTGACTGTTGGTTTTGTTTAGATGCCCTTTATTATGTTGAGAAATTTCCCTTCTATTCCTATCTTATTGATAGTTTTTATCAGGAATGGATGTTGGACTTTATGGAATGCCTTTTCTCATTGATTGAGATGGTCATATGACTCTTATTTTATTTATGTGGTGGATTATGTTGATTGATTTTCTAACGTTGAACTATCTTTGCATACCTGGTATGAATCCCACTTGGTTGTAGTGCATTTTTTTCTACGATGCTGAATTCTATTGGCTAGAATTTGGTTAAGAATTTTTGCATCTATATTCATGGGAGATATTGGTCTGTAATTTTCTTTTTTGGTGTCTTTGCCTGTTTTTGGTATCACGGTTATGCTGGCTTCATAGAATGAATGTGGAAGTATCCTTTCCTTTTCTATGTTCTGAAGTAGTTTGAGTAGTACTGCTGCAAGCTCTTCTCTAAATGCTTGGTAGAATTCTCCTGTGAAGCCATCTGGACCAGGACTTTTTTTGAGGGGGAGGGGGAGGGGAATTTTTTATTACCTTTTCAATCTTTTCTCTTGTTATGGGCCTGTTCAGATTTTCTACCTCAATTTGTGTTAGTTTAGGTAGGTAGTGTATTTCTAGAAATTTGTCCATTTCCCCTAGGTTTTCAAATTTGTTGTAGTTTTTCACAGTACTCTGTTATGATCGTTTTTATTTCAGTTAGGTCTGTTGTAATGTCCCCCATTTCGTTTCTTACTTGGTTATTTGCTTCCTCTCCTGTTTTCTTTTGTAAATTTGGCCAATGATTTGTCAATTTTGTTGATCCTTTCAAAGAACCAGCTTTTGGTTTTGTTGATTCTATTGTTTTTCTCTTTTCTATTTCACTTATTTCTGCTCTGATCTTTATTATTTCCTTTCTTCTGGTGGCTGTGGGTTTCTTTTGCTGTTCTGTGTTTGTTTGAGTTGTAGGGTTAACATTTTGATTTTGTCCCTTCTTTTTTGATGTGTGCACCTATTGCTATAAACTGACCTCTGAGCACTACCTTAGCTGTGTCACATAGGTTTCAGTATGATGTGTTTTCATTATGATTTGATTCTAGAAATTTTTTGATTCTGTCTTTGATTTCTTCTATTACCCAGTGGTTTTTAAGCAAGGTGTTATTCAGTTTCCATGTACTTGATTTTTTTTTTTTCCTTTCTCTTCCTGTTAATTTCTACTTTTACAGCATTGTCATCAGAGAAGATGCTTTGTATTATCTCAATGGTTTAGATTTTGTTGAGGGTTGCTTTGTGGCCTAAGATGTGATCTATTTGGAGAATGTTCCATGTGCATTGGTAAAGAATATATACTTTGCTGTGGTTGGGTTGAGTGTTCTATACACTCCTATGAGGTCAACATGGTTGACTGTGGCTTTAAGATCTTCTGTATCTTTACTGTGTTTCTTCTAGATGTTCTGTCCTTTACCAAGAGTGGTGTGTTGAAGTTTCCTACTATTATTGTGAAACTGTCAGTTTCTCTTTTCAGTGCTGTTAGGGTTTGTTTTATGTATTTTGGAGCTCTGTCATTGGGTGCATAGATATTTATTATGGTTATGTCTTCATGGTGGACTGTTCCTTTAATCATTATATAATGTCCTTTCTTGTCTTTTATGATAGATTTTTCTTAAAGTCTATTTTATCTGAGATTAATATTACCACTCTTGCTCTTTTTTGGTTGCTGTTAGCTTGATATTTTTTTCCATCCTGTAATTTTTAATATATTTATGTTCTTGTGTCTAAGGTGTGTCTCTTGTATGCAGCATATTGATACGTCATTTTTTTTATCCATTCTGTCACTCTCTGTCTCTTTACAGGTGCATTTAGGCCATTGACATTCAGTGTGATTATCTATAGGTGTGAGTTTATTGCTGTCATTTCACAGTGCTTTTTGTTTGTTTGTTTGTTTGTTTGTTTTTTGTGATGCTGACATTTTCTTTGGTCCTCTTACTCTCCTGTGCTGAGTTCCTTTTATTTGTGAAATTGCTTTTTGTTTCTTTCGTTATTATAGATTTTGTGTTTACTGAGACTTTGTTTTTCTTTATTTTGAAGAGTAGGTAGGTTTATTAACCTTTTTTGTGGTTACCTTTAAATTTACCCTCACGTTCCTAAGATTGAACCAGTCTTTTATTATCTGATATCACCTTGACTTCTGGAAACTGATTCTTAATGAAGCAATGCAAAAAACTCTACTGCTATAAAAAGTGAAGTGACCTGAAAAGGTGTCTTGTGTGACATGTGGCCAAAAGACAGAATTGTGTGGTCTTTTTGTGCGGTCATTTTCAGCAGAGTCTTGTAGATTCCACTAGAGGCATCATCTCCAAATTTGTGTTTAATTGCTGAAGTGTGCATGGGTAGCAGGCTTTCAGTGTTATTGATAGAATAAAAATATATATTAGTCACACAGTCTCTAGGATTTTGAGGAATGGTTCCCTTTGTAAAACACAGTTCACAAAGAATATTCTGAGGGATGCGGAGGATCTTCCCAGAAACTCCTTCCAGGCACAGAAATGCCAGGTAAAATGTCTGGGGTCTGCTAACTGTTCCTTGGGGAAGGGCAGCCCTACAACCCTCGACTACAGTGTTCAAAGGCTGTTTTTTCACTGTACTGAGGCTGATTCTCTCCCACGACGTCTAAAAGGGACCCTCCCCAGAGTCATGGTGCTCCTAGGTCTCAAATGGCAAAACAGGATCTATGGTTTGCACCATGAGTCTCAGGCCTCAAGGACATCAGGATTCCAAAGCTGACACTCCTAGCTTCTATGGCTCCCATATGCCTAAATCTGTGCTCTCCTTCTGTGTTTCAGGCTGTATCTGAAAATCAACTATGGGGACAAACCTTGCCTCTTTTGATCAGGGACCCAGAGAGGTTATGAGTCTAACCCCTTTGAGTGGAGTAGAGAAGTGGTTCTGAAACTTGCAATCATCTTCCTTTGGTGGCTGCAACACTTATGTCCGCACCACTACCTCTGAGGAAAACAAGCAATTAGAGGTTGGATGGAGGGACACATGACCTCATGATTATGAGCTGTGTAGGAAACCACAGATTAGGGCTTCTCTTATACAAATTTCCATGCATTTCATCCTGCTTATGATACATATTGGAGAGAAAAGACCTGAAAAATTGGAATTTTTTCAAACAGTGATTTGAGGCTTGAAAGAGTGAGTTAAAATAATTTAAGAGAGAAAAGACTGAATAACCAACTGACCAGTGCAAGGGGAGCCTGTCTGCCACACAGCCCGCTCGAATGGATGAGGCAATCATAATATTCCATATGTCCAGGATACAGTCTAAAATGACTCAGCATACAATGAATCAGGAAATTGGAACCATTTCTTAAGGGAGGAGAGGGTCAACATTTGCCAACCCCAAGATAACACAAATTTTGGAATTAGAGAAGACTCTAAAGCAGTTATTATAAGCATATTCCAGGAGATAATGTTCAACACTCTTGAAATGCATGGAAAGATAAAAATTTTCAGCAGAGAAATAATACCATATTTAAAAGAACGAGACTGAAATGTTAGAATTGAACAAATATAACACACGACTTAAAAATATTAACCGGAAGCTCTCAATAGCAGAATGGAGATAACCGAATTAGTGATATTGAAGATAGATCAATACAAATTACCCCAGCCTTCAGTGAAGGACAGTGAAGTAAGATTGATAAAGGAAATGAATAGACCTTCAGGGATCTAGAGAAGAATATCAGAAGGTCTAGCTTTCATGTTACTTAACCCATAAGAAATGAGGTCTATATCTTGATGACTTTATTGAAAACTTTTTTATGTCTTAATTTGTTATGGAACTTTCTGATACTGTAGGTAACAATACACCCCACTGAATGGGAAAGAAGGGAGTTGTAACATTTGCAAAGTGGACATTACTAGTTTACAAGCCCTGCTCTACTAGATAAGACTATTATGAAAAGTGGTGGTGACCTGTTGTGTCCTACCACAATGGAGGGAGGATGATCACTGTGAATATCAACCCAGGATCCCCCACATACACTTACTTTGCCTTGTACCAGGTCTACAGAGATGAGTTGACAAGACCCTTGCAGTCTCTTGGATCTTGCAGTGCAGAGCCTGCTTAGTGATGAAGACTCAGCTGTGCGTGTCCTGGAAGAACTCCCTGTCAGCCGCTTCCCAATACTCTTCACGGAAGCCTTAGCTGGGGGGCACAGAAAGATTGTGAAGGCCATGGTGCAGGTCTGGCCCTTTCCCTGCCTCCATCTGGGATCACTGAGAGAGCAGTCAAAATCTCTGTTGGAAGCTGTGCTAGATGGACTGCAATTTGTTCCTGCCAACACTGCATGCCACAGGTAATGGTAGTCATGGGATGCTGCTTGGGCACTGGGAGAGGGATGGACCTGGATTCAGGGATGCAGGGCCAAAGGATGTGTTAGAATCTGCCTGTGGTACAATCTCAATCACTGGAAGGCCTTAAGACCATTGCTGAGTCCCTTAGAGAAGAAGAATCTGGTGTAATTCAGAGTGAGGTTTACACTCCTGGTGGTGGCATCCCTGGACAAGATAACAGATGGGGAGTGAGGGGCGGGTGTGGTTGGAAGAGTACAACTTAGAAGGGATGACAGATAGGGGAGAGCAGGACTGGTGGCTGGATAGAGGCCCTTTCCAGGGTCTGCTGCTACTGGTCTCATAAGCCCTGCTGCACTGTCCTGAAAGTCAGCATCTCAACTGACATATTTCCCACAGGAGATTGAAGCTGAAGGTGCTGGATGTTACCAATGACTATGAGCTATCTAACTGGGAGGAATGCTCTGAGACCTTTACTGCACTCTTTCTCATCACTCATAGGATGGAAAAGATACAGGCAGACTAGCACACACCCAATAGCAGAGGACAGTCTTGGTGTGATGGAGAACCTGTGGAGATCAACACTGACCTCAACTTATGTGGTTTGGTCAGTTGCTTCCATCTGTCTCGGTTCCCCTCTTACATATTACAGAGACTCAGGAAGAGCCATGGCTGTCTGCACCTTTATTGTCAGACACTAGTCATTACCCAAGTGCCATTCTGCAGCCTTGTGGAGATCATGGGAACACTTGAACTGGAGTCCATCTAAGAGTTGAGGCTGCAGCATGAGTATATGATCAGCTTCCAGTCACATCTAATCCAGTTCTTCACCCAAGTAGGACAGATAACCAGTCTGAGCAACCTCATCCTTCATTACCTCCCCTGGAATTTCCTTGCTGACTGTTTCTCTGTGCTTAGTTGCTTGGGCCACCTTAAGAAGCTCCACCTGATATTCAACTCTCTCTCAGGGCAGCTACATAACATGCTCAGGTGAGTGTATGAAAAGTTCTCTGGGATTACAAAGGCCAAGGTATTAGAACATTCCTCTGATCATTCCATATCAGGATTGAGATAAGCCTGGTGTCTGCAGAGTCACTGAACTCAGGTTCCAAGGCTGGAGCCCTAGGGATCTGGTGGCTGTTAACTGTTATAGAGCAGAAAGATAGTCAAAGCAGGTGTCTCTACTATGCATTCATTCATTCATTTATTCATTCATAGCATGTATCTAAGAATGAGGGAGAAAACCCTGAAAAATTCAGTCAAGTTCTTATCCTCCTGGAGTTCATGGGTTTCTATAGAGAAGGGTGAATAAGAATGCTAAATTGTGAGCGTGGTATTTGGGTGAAGTAATTGCGCCCCACAGCTTCTAATCCCATTTGACTTGGTCAATTCGTTTCTCTTATTTATGATTCACAGACTTCTTTGTGGCATGCCCTGGAAAATTGGTAGCCTTGCCCTGGGATTTGGCCAGTGGGTGAATAGAAACATGGGAAAGCGGCTTCCCAAACTCATTATAATGCACTCGTAAACTCAGCCTTTACCATGCAAAAGTTGTATCTAAATTTTATCAATTCCTACACCAACTTGTGGAGCATGAGTGGTTATTGTGTTTACATGGCTCATTACAAAGATTAGACTAAGAGAGGTCAGTGTGCCCAATACCATTTTCTGAAATATGAGAGGCCCTGTTGGGAACAGGAATGTGTTTGCTTCCAAACTGTGTTTTTGAGCAGTAGGTAAGTCTGACTCCAGACCTCTCCTATCAAGACTGAGGTGGGGCAATGCAAATTTCCCAGGCCAGATTCCTGAGTTTTTCCCAAATGTATTTAGTGCTCTAGACCAAGCTCCAAAGGAGTAACTGTCCTTGTCTCTACATAGTTGCCTGCAGAAACCACTGGAGAGTCTGGTGGTCGGTGAATGTAGACTTACTACGAATGATATTGCCTACTTGTTCTCGAGTGTTCATGCCACCTGCCTGAAGGAGTTGGTATTATCTAACAATTACTTGTCTCAAATTGTTCCTGGGCCCCTGGAGGTTCTGTTGGGTGAGGTCTCAGGCACCCTGCAGCACCTGAACTTGAGAAGCGGTGGGTTGGAGGAATCCCAACTCAAAGCCCTCCTGCCTGCCCTGTGCAGCTGCTCCCACCTCTGTTCCCTTGTCTTGGGTAACAACATTATCTCCATGTCAGACCTCATGAACATGCTTCAGCAGATAGCAGGACTGAAGGAGCTGAAGCGTGTGCAGTACTCTGTCCCTGCTGACTAAGTTGTGTACTTGGATGACAGCAGGTCAGGAAACCTCAACAGAGTGAAACTGGCCTGGGTGCACACTACCTTGCAGGAGATGTTGCAAACTCTACAGCGGGAAAACATAAAGTTGACCAATCCTTGATGAAGTGATTAAGAGATACGGCTGCTAACCAAAAGTTTGGCAGTTCAAATCCACCAGCCACTCCTTGGAAACCCTGTGGGGCAGTTCTACTTTGTCCTATGGGGTCACTATCAGTCGGAATCGACTCCACGGCAATGAGGTTTTTTTTTTTTTGCTTTTGTTTTTGGAATTCTTATATTAACTAACTTATAAAAAGTCACAGCCAACCTGATGGGAGGGAGTAGATGCAGTGGGTACTGTGGCCATGGCAGTGCATTTGCTGAATGGATGCTGTGGTTTACAGAAAACTAGTAAAACAAACACCACAATGAACAATCCAGTGGTGATCACTATTATTGGACACAGCTGGGTTCAACCATTCATGAAATCCCAGGAACTGGTTGAAATTCTACAGTGTGCCAGTGTTTTAATGCTGGGGATACAAAGACAAGTTGCTTGGGCCACCTTAAGCTCCTTAAGTTTTAAGAAGTTGTCCTTCTCGGCTGTTTACACAATTCCCTTCCATTTGGCTTCAGTGATCCCACTTCTTTGAACTACAAGCCATTGGGGCAGCTTCATCTCAATTTCAGTTCACTCACTGATGAAATGGGGGTAATTGAGATGTTAACAGAATCAAGGGAAAAGACAAGTGTGAGGTGCTGAGCCCAGAGCTTTCACTCACTCCTTTACTCGACAAATACTGACTTCCTGCTGTGATCAGAAACTGCCCTCACTGTGGGGAATACAGAGGTAAACAAAACATTAAAGGTTTCTGCTGGCAAAGAACTTCGTGTGGGGTGTAGACACTATACAAGTCAGCAAATCAATAAGAAAGTTGATTTCAGAGATGTGCAATGAAAACAACAGAAGGGAAACTTGGAGGGTTACTGGGTCTGGGAGTGGCTGGTCACTCTACTTCAGGGTGGATGTGTCAAATAAGAAACACTTCTTTGTGAGGACTGACAGGTGAGTGCTGAGAAGCAACAGGATATCAGGAGAACTGGGGAGAAGCCTCCCAACACTAGACCAAACCTACTGCTGTCAATGATTCAGACTCATAGCAGCCCTACAGGACAGAATAGAACTGCCCCATAGGGTTTCCAAGGTTGCCACATCTTTCTCCCACAGAGCAGCTGGTGGGTTCAAACTTCTGACATTTTGGTTAGCAGCCAAGCACCTTAATCACTGTGCCACCAGGGCTCCTCAGAAGTCTCTCAGACAGAGGAAACAGAGATAGAGTAATAAGTAATCAGAAAGTTCAGGGTTGAAGGATGTATCAATATTTTAGATGGAGATAATGGAAATCTTGGGGGCTTTGGCCCTTAGCTTGTACTGACACATGCTACAGCATGAGTGATCCCTGAAAACATGCTAAGTGAAAGAATCTAGTAGCAAAAGATTGTGATATGATTCCATTTATATGAAATATGTGAAATAGGCAAATCGATAGAGACAGTAGATTAGTGGTTACCAGAAGTGTGACTGGAGGGAGTGGAAATGAGGGATTGCAAAAGGGTATCAAATTTCTTTTAGAAGTATTGAATGTGAGGTTTGCAGAATGCTATGAATATTAAAACCATTTTATATGTTATTTTATCTGAATAAAGCTGTTATAGAAGTTATTTTAATGACCGGAAAAAGTCACGTTTCTCAGATCCTGTGGCTCCTGACCCAGAAGCCATGGTTCAGTGTGCAAGCAAGTATGGCTGATGTTCCCAGGGATACAGAGGGGGAGGCAAGCTGATCCAGCACAGGCGGGGCGAGGGAACTTACAAACACAGACACTGGGATCATGGGGCTGGGCCAGGAAGCATCTGCTTGAGGGTCTGAGCAAGCAGGGGCTCACACCTGCTGGGGGACAGCACTCAGGTCTCTGAGGCCTGTCCCTACCTGTGCAGTAAAAGGAGCACATGGAGGGGAAGGGGCCCAGGCCATGGTGTACACAGGACCCCTGTGCCTCACAATGGGGTAGGGCTGCCCCACACCTCTCTTATCCCCTCCACTGACCTACAGAGGAGGGGCTGCTCATGTAAACTTGTGCCCACTCAGTGCCTGCTTGGTCTGAGCTGGGGGCCTATGGAGCAAAGAGGCTGAGAAGGCTCCATAAGCTATCTCAGAAATTTAACAATGTACAAAAACAAGTATACTACCACCTATGATACCACTGTCTAAGAAGACTGTGTCTGCACTCTGGTGGGTTTCTCCCATTTATTTTCCTGATATATACAACTCATGGGAAATTAATGTTTTGGCTATAAAAATAACGCATCCGTTTTGCTGATGTATTTAGACATCTGCCAAAGTGCTAAGAAGTCTTGAGAGTCAACCTTGGCCCCACCCTTCTATTCCCACTTGCTCCTTGTTTAAACCTGTTCAAGGTCCGCCCTCCATGATATCCTGCTGCATCCACCAGCTCCTCTGTCCAGGACAGAGCCCACGAGAGGCCTGGTCAGGGCCCTTGATGATCACTACCTCCTTTAGGGTGGACTCCAGACGTCTAGACATTGATGTGAGCCAGTGACATGTTTGATACTTTGTATCATGGCCACATTTATTCATAGATACATGCCATGAGGTAGTTGGTATTAGAGTTCCCGCAGTCAGTGGGAATGAACCAAAGCCCATCAGAAGGGCTGGTTCCCAGTCAGATGCACTCAGGGGCTGAATTCACATCTCCCATGTCCTTGCCCTATGACCTTGGTTGGCTAATCTCTCTGGACTTGGTGGCCACATATGCAAAGTAGAGGTCATAACCTATAAGGCTGGGTTTGATAAAAGGTGGCAGCTGTCATCTCATCCTCTTCTTCAACACTATGAGAAAGTCAGTGATTCCGTGCCTTGGTATAGGGTGCTTCATGCTTTTACCTCTACCGACATAGTTGCTTTCTGAGACAGAACTGTGCCCAGCCCAGAACTTGAAACAGCCTCATAAATTACCTGGTTTGATAGCAGGTACTATCAAGATTACCCAAGAGGGCAGGGAGCACAGGACCCTGGCATGAGTGAGACAGTCACACCAAGGGTGGTAGACAGTAGCACTTTGTGGCTGCCCAGTAACCTGACACCATGTAGATGGTGGTGGGGAGGATGTTGCTGAGAGGCTGATAACCCTCTTGTGAGAGGGATTCTGATCATTAGCATGCACATTCTCGTACAGACTCTTGCAAAATGAGGTCCCAAAATAAATGTGATTATTAAAATTATTAATAAATTGAAGGTCCTCAGATTGACTTCCAGTTCTGGTAAAGATGGAGCAGCCACATTCCTCCCATGTGCTTCTTTTTAAAACTAAATTCCTAAACATAACCAGCAAGTAAATATAGGAAGACTCTGAAAGGGGTTAAAAAAAAAAAAAAAAAGACAGTCTGCCTTGGCACCTCAGGACTTGAGGAACAGCATCTCAGTGAATTCCCTGGGTTTCTCTTTTGCCTCCCTTATATCCTGGACAGGGTACTGGTGAAAGTTCTACTCAGAACCGTCAAACAACACAGACAAAAACGCTCGAAGAGAAGTCTGTTACCTCTATTCAAAGGACCAAAGATAGCCTAAAAAAAGGAAAAAAACCTTTTATACAAAACCCACCCTATACCAGAAAAACACCTATGAAAAAGCTACTTTCTCCACTGTGGTTCAGATAGGTCTAGCAGGTGGTGATCCAGATTTCCTGCTGGGTAACAACAATAGGGTGATGTGGGTACTGAGCCTGCCTCCTCACCTGGCAACAATGAATCTTGTGATGCTGTGAGTAAGGACTAGTCCACAGTCTACTTCCCCCTCCTCTTAGCTGTCAGTGGGGCTGGGTGGGGAAACACGCCACTCCAGCAGTAGAAAGACGGAATGAAGTGATATTAGGAAGGGCTAGTCCACATTCGATTTCCCACTCACATTGGTGTCAGCACCCATAAATGACATGAACCCTACAAACAAGGTAGTTGAAGGTGGAGCCAGTTGGCTTCTCCTATCCTTGTGCCATTGACGACCAGCATGGACCTGAGCTTACATAGTCACTTGGAGACAATGAGGGAAAGTGTAAATCAGGCCAAAGGGGAAGCTTCAATGAGGTGGTGTGATTAAGCACACCATTTTTAGCACACTATTTTTACCAGATTGCTGTCAGTGGGGTCAACAGGGAGTTCAACATCAACCTTCATGTGCATCGGGGTGTTACACCTAAACAGGGTGAATGTCTGCTAACAAAGATTCAAGAGGATTCAAGCTCATGACATAATCATGAAAATGTTCATGATTAATTTAAAAAATCATTCGTTATACCAAGAACTAGGACAATCGTAACTTGAGTGAGAGAAGATCATCAACAGACACCAACACTGACTGAGATGACTCAGATGCTGTAATTATCTGACAAAGATTTTTTTCTCTCTTTTAAAAATTTTATTGTGCTGAAATATATATGTAACAACAAGTTGGCCATTTTAACCCTTTTTAAGTGTTCAATTCAGTGACCTTAATTATATTCACAATATTGTACAACCATCACCACTATCTATTTCCTAAATTTTTTCATCACCCCAGATAAAAACTCAGTATCCATTAAGCAATAACTCCCCAAACCCCTATCAACTCAGCCCTTTGTTGTGTTGTTGTTAGGTGCTGTCAAGTTGGTTCTGACTCAGCGACCCTATGTACAACAGAACAAAACACTGCCCAGTCCTGCACCATCCTCACAATCGTTGCTACGTTTGAGCCCATTGTTGCAGACACTGTGTCAATCCATCTCCTTGAGGGTCTTCCTGTTCTTCGCTGACATTCTACTTTACCAAGCATGATGTCCTTCTCCAGGGACTGATCCTTCCTGATAACATGTCCAGAGTACATAAGATGAAGTCTCGCCATACTTGCTTCTAAGGAGCATTCTGGCTGTACTTCTTCGAAGA